TGAAATCAAACACCATCTTCAGTGCACATCATGACCATGAAAATAAGCACAAACACACATCCTTCACACTTCACATTAATTGCTTGGTGGGTGCTTTGGGGGTTACATTTCTCTGTGGACCCCCCAATTTTTTCTCGCAGATCACCAGTGGTCCCCGGCCCACTGGTTGGCGACCACTGCCTTGGAGTATAGTTCTTTACGCAAAATGTCAGTAGTTTGTGAAACATAGCAGGAGGCGTTTTGCTGTCTACAATTTGAAAGCTTTTTTTTTTTTTTGCAATTTACACTCTGGGTTAGTTGGGATGGTTTCCTTTCTCACTCAGTAGTGGGCTGCAACCAGTTTAACAATCGGTTCTGTGATCAATAAAGACCAATTTGAACCTCTCCACCTCACCTACTCTCCTTCCCTGGTAAGGAGAACGGCTGAGGCACGGTAATCCACTTTGCGTGTGAATTAGCTGAGCTGCAAAAGAAGGAAATGTAAGACAGGATAGGGTGGGGCCAGGTGGGTGGGGCCAGCTGATCGTCGTTCGTACCGATTCGCTGTAACCGGTCCGAACTGGCAGCAGCTCACCATTGTTCTCACTCCACGACTAAGCTCAGTGCAATATTAAAATACTTCTGTAAACCGAATTTGCAAGGTTAGAAAAGTTTAGAGGCTAACATCCGAAAGAGAATTGGTTTCAACATAAGAAACAGATGGTGTCAGGAGGAGATAACGATGGATGGTGCAGATAGTTAGGAATGAAAAAAAGGAATAAAAAAATATGGATAGTTGCATGATTCGCCTATTATGTAGAGAAAAGAGAAGCAGACGCGTTGCTTGAACCAAATACTTTGTTATGCAGGGTAATTGATCCAAATCTATGCAAATCTGTCATACTGGAATCTCAGGTTCTCCCTCATGCTAACTTTTTCAAGAGGCAGGGGAAATTGCCTAACTTCACAGGTTATTAACCATTTCTGCTTGATATTTAGTACCATCTGTGCAACTGATTAAATACCCTGTTTCCCCAAAAGTACAACCTACCCTGAAAGTAAGTCCTAGCTTGATTTTTACACATGTGCCCAATATAAGCCCTACCCCCCAAAAAACCCTAATTAAGATCCCATCCACTCCAGAGTAGACGGGTAAAAATTAAGCTAGGGTGGGGATGGGTGGGTGGAGCTGCCCTACTACTTACCTTTGGACAGTTGTAGCGACTGTGGTGATTGTAAATTACATGTCTCAGAGTCAGCTTCATACAGGTCATGCTGGCATGTTGCTCCTAATAAATCTTTTGAAGTTTTTAAAAGCTTGGTTCCAGGCTTCTGGTTTAATTAGGGTGATCTCCGGAATCCTGACATCAAGGTTGACAATCCGAAGTATCTCTCATCCACTGAATGTAAAAAAAAAAAAAAACCTGGTGGCAGAGATTGATTAATGAATCAAACTTGAGAACAGGTCACACATACAGGTCAGGCTTTCTTTAAAAAAAAAAAACAATGTGGATTTTAATGAAAGAGAGCAACGATGGGACAAATTCCAGGGTTTGGAAAAGCTAATGAGCAAAGGAAGTCTTAATTCCTAAGGAAGATACTAAAAAGCATAGAAAGGCCCAGAACTTTACAGTAACACTGTCAAGAAAGCTCAGAATTATCTGAGATTAGTGAAAGAGGCTAAAAATAACACAACGGTTGTGCTGAAGTGTTCAAAGGAGAAGAATCAATGCGTCAGCTGCTAAATGAGAAGGCTAAATGAACATCCACCTGCCATAAAGAAAAATCTGAGCTGGAGCAGCAGGATTGAAACTGGATGAATTGTGGTTCTAGCTGATGGCCTGGCCAAATTATTACAGATTAACTGAGTTGGAAGTTGGTCATCTAGTCCAACCCCCCCTGTCCAAACAGGTGACACCACACCATTTCTGACAGATGGCAATCCAGTCTCTTCTTGAAAGCCTCCAGGGATGGAGCTCCGACAACTTCCAAAGGCAAAAGCTGTTCCATTGAATATAGGATACCAGAGTTGGAAGGGACCTTAGAGGTCATCTAGTCCAATCCCCCCTGCCCAAGCAGGAGACCCCACACCATTTCTGACTGAGGGCAGTCCAATCTCTTCTTGAAAGCCTCCAGGGGTGAAGCTCCCAAAACTTCCGAAGGCAAAAGCTGTTCCATTGAATACAGAATACCAGAGTTGCAAGGGACTTAGAGGTCATCTAGTCCAACCCTCCCATCCAAGCAGGAGACCCCACACCATTTCTGACCTAGGCAGCCCAGTCTCTTCTTGAAAGCCTCCAGGGATGAAGATCCCACAACTTCTGAAGGCAACTCCTGTTCCATTGAACATAGGATACTAGAGTTGGAAAGAACCTTGGAGGTCATCTAGTCCAACCTACGCCATTTCTGACAGAGGGCAGTCCAGTCTCTCCTTGAAAGCTTCCAGGAATGAAGTTCCCACCACTTCTAAAGGCAACTTCTGTTCCACTGGTCAATTGTCCTTACTGTCAGGAAGTTTCTCCTTATTTACAAGTTGCTTCTCTCCTTGGTTAGTTTCCATTCATTATTATTATTTGTCTGGCCTTTGGGTGCCTTGGAGAGTAGCTTGACCCCTTCCTCCTCTCTGTGGCAGCCCCTCAAATATTGGCATCAGATATAAATCCTTATGGGTTACCCTGGAGAAATTTTGGGGAGCAGGTGAGCTGCCAAGGAGAGCAACTGTGGCTCCATCATCTTTAGAAAGGAGGAAAAAAAGAAAGTCCAGCAAATTGATCATTTGCGCATTGATAACTGGCAAATTCTAGAAGGTATCACAAAGAAACTCATCTGTAAGCACCTTGAAAACATTAGCATAATCAGGAGAAGCTGGCAGCCAAACCAGAATTAAATGTTGTAACTATGATCAGTAACTGGATCATAAGTAGCTTTTGAGAGTCTGTCCTAACTTTGAATGGCCACTAAGCAACCAGTCATAAGTCAGCTTCTGAGGGGCACACGTCATGATTTTGTAATTGGTTAGTTAACATAGTTACTTTATATTTTACTTTGCATTTTAAACATACTTTATATTTTACTTTGCATTTTAAACATAGCTGTTTTATATTTTACTTTGCATTTTAAACATAGTTGTTTTATATTTTACTTTGCATTTTAAACATAGTTACTATAATATAAAGTAACTGTTTAATATACAAGGTAAAATATAAAGTAACTATGTTTAAAATGCAAAGTAAAATGTATTTATTTTGTATTTTAAGCAGAGTGACTATATTTTACCTTGTACATTAAACATACTTACTTTGTATTTTACTTTGCATTTTAAACACAGTTACTATAATATAAAGTAACTATGTTTAAAATACAAGGCAAAATATAAAGTAACTGTTTAAAATGCAAAGTAAAATATATTTACTTTGCATTTTAAGAAGACTGACTTTATATTTTACCTTGTATATTAAATATAGTTACTTTGTATTTTACTTTGACTTATTTTCCCTCTTTTAAAAAAATGATGTCCAAGCTCATTACAGATTGGATAGCCTTTAACATTCCTAAACTGAAAAGATAAACAGACTGAAGACTATCTCCAGATAAGAAAAAAGTTTGTTAGTTTATGGATGGTTGGAAAATAAAGCAAGAAATTGAATGGCACTGTAATAATGATATACTATGATAGATAATGCTGAATAGGCTATAATATGAGTGTCAATTCAGTAAGATTTGGAATTTATTTTTATGGATGATTAGAAAATGAAGCAAGAAATTTAAAGACATTGTAATAATGATATACCGTGATATATAATATTGAATAGGCTATAATATGAATGTAAACTCAGTAAGAAATGTATACAAATATTATGTGCACAAGATATAAGTACCCAGTTGACACACCGTATAACTGAAAGATGGTTTTATTTGTTGTTTTGGTTATAAAATTTTTAAAAAATTAAAAAAAAGAAAAAAGTTTCTTAGATATTGGGGTCCGGTTTATCTCTTTTGCAAACTCAAAACAGCCTTTTTCCTTACTATTCTGACATCAGATTTCATTTTAATGAACATGTGTGATATTAATTATATGCAAATATGTAGCATGTTTGTCTGCATAACTGATTTCCTGTGCCAAAGGGAGGGGGCTTTTATCCAGTCCAGCCAACTTTCCTCTTGCATTTGTGTGTGTGTGTGTGTGTGTGTGAACTATTTGAATGAGAGGACTCCCTTTTGTCTGAATATTCTGATAAAATTGTCATAAAACAATCTTCTTGTCTCCGTCTGTTCTCCGGATAGAATAGAATAAGAGAGTTGGAAGGGATCTTGTAGGTCATCTAGTCCAACCCCCTGCCTAGGCAGGAAACCCTACACCACTTCAGACAAATGGTTATCCAATCTCTTCTTAAACACTTCCAGTGTTGGAGCATCCACAACTTCTGGAGGCATGTCCTCCAGAAGGCCTCCACTTACGACCATTCAAAACGTGGGGTGGTAAGAAACAGGTAGTCCTTGACTTACAACGGTTCATTTAGTGACCGTTCAAAATTATGAGGGCACTGAAAAAAAGGGGGGGACCCAGGACCGTTTTTCACACTTACGACCGTCGCAGCATTCCTGGGGGGTGTTACAGGAGCAAAAATTCAGAGGCTTGGTGTCTGACTCACACTTACGACGAGCCTAGTCCATGGGGGAAAGCCAGATTCGCTTAAGAGCTGGGTTGCTGAATTAACAGCTGCACGGGATTCGCTTTAGCAACCGTGGTGAGAAAAGTCGTAAAACGGGGGCATAGCTTGCCTCTCGCTTAGCAGCAGAACTCTGGGGCTGAACGGTAGTCGTAGGCCGAGGACTACCGGCAGTGGCTTCGCTTAACGGCAGAAATCTGGGGCTGAACGGTGGTCACAAGCCGAGGATTACCGGCAGCGCGGGTCGGACTAGACGACCTCGAGGGTCCCTCCGTGCCCTGATCTTGCGCCCGAGCCGGAAAGCCGCTGAGCGAGGCGGCGGCAGCGGCGGCTTTCCGCAGGAACCGCCTCTTGGCCGGCCGCGTCGCGGGAAGGCAGGCGGCCGAGGCGGGGCAGGAGCCATGAACGGCAGCCGCAGCGAGAGCGACTGGCAGGGGCTGGTGGGCGAGGTGAGGGCGCCGGCGGGGAGGGAGGGAGGGCCGAGGAGCTGCGGGGACCCCGGGCGGGCCGGGCCGGAGGGCAGCCAGGGCGGCGGGCGGGCGGCGGCGGGCGGGCCCCGCTTGGCCTGCTGCGCGCTCGGCTCCGGCCAGCCCCGGGAATCCAGGCGGGCGGGCTGCGTGGTCGGGGGAGATGCCTCGGTTGGACGGAGGAGGAGGAGGAGGAGGAGAAGGAAGGAGGAGGAGGAGGAGAGGAGAAAGAGAGAGAAGGAGAAAAAGGAGGAGGAGGAAGAGAGAGAAGGAGAAAGAGGGAAGAGGAGGAGAGAGAAGGAGGAAGAGGGGAGAAAGAGGAAGGAAGAGAGGGAGACAGGAGGAGGAGGAAGAGAGAAGTAGAAAGAGGGAGGAGGAGGGGGAGGAGAGGAGGAGGAAGAGAGAGAGGGAGAAAGAGGGAAGAAGAGAGGGAGGTGGAGGAGGAGAAAGAGAGAGGAGGAGGAGAAAAAGGAAGGGAAAGAAGACACAGGAGATGGAGAAAGGGAGAAGGAGAAGGAGGGAGAAGGAGAAAGAGGGAAGAGGAGGGGAGAGGAGGAGAAGGAGGGGGAGGGAAGAGGAGCAGGAAAGAGGAGGAGAAAGAAAGAGGAAAAGGAGAAAAAGGAGCAGGAGGAGGAGGAGAAAGAGAGGAGAAGGAGAGAAAAGAGGCAGGAGATGGAGAAAGGGAGAAGGAGTAAGAGAAAGGGAGAAAGAAGGAGAAAGACAGAAGGAAAAGGAGAGGGAGAAGGAGAAAGGGAGGAGAAGGAGCGGCCTGGCCCAAGCCCTTCCATCCCTTGCTCCCCGATCTGCAGGCAGAGGGTTGCCTTCCCTGTCCTGAGAAAGGGAGGCCTCTGGGGTCCTTGTGCCCAAGCCATTCAGCCGGGTTTATTTCCCAGGGGCACCCAGAGGCAATCGCCTCACAGAGTTTCTTCGTTGGAAAGGAAACAAAGTCAGAGGGAACCATTATCCAGCGGAACCGCTCGCCACTAGAAGTTGTGGGTGCTCCAACACTGGGGGTTTTTAAGAAGAGGCTGGACGGCCATGTGTCTGAAGTGGTTGAGGGTCTCCTGCTTGAACAGGGGGTTGGGCTAGATGACCTCCGAGGTCCCTTCCAGCTCTCTTCTGATTGATTGATATTGTTTAGGGCAGAGGTCTTCAAACTTGACAGCTTTAAGACTTGTGGGCTTCAACTCCCAGAATTCCTCCCTTAGTCATGTTAGCTCAGGAATTCTGGGAGTTGAAGTCCACAAGTCTTAAACTGGCCAAGTCTAAAGACCCTTGGTGTAGGGTCTCCTTCTTGAGCAGGGGACTGGACTAGAGGACCTCCAAGGTCCCCTTCCAGCTCTGCCCTTCTGCATTCTATATGCTTCCTCCTTGGGAAATCGACCTGTGTGTTGTGATTGTTTGGTAACTCACAGTGTGTACTTTCTACTGAATGGCCACATGCGAACACACACGCACACACACACACACACACACACACACACACACACACACACACAGGAACAATGACTGAATGTCACCTTTGTTTGCTGTGCCTCCCCTGGACTTAAAAACTAACCCAACTGGTTCCAAACAAGCAAAGCCCAAATATATATATATTCAGGATTCCCTGTTGCCCCTTTTAAATATATTTAAAAGGGGCAACAGGGAATCCAGAGGTAGCAAAATTTTGGTGGACAGAGCTCCTAACTCTTGCCCTAGAGGAAGTCCCAGACTTATGACCACCGGTGGGGTTGAAAATTGCCTGTCCTGCTAAGTGAGGCGGCCATGAAGGGAATAGCGGGCCACTTTGCCGCTTTTCTGGCCACATTCATTAAGTGGATCCCTGCAGTTGTTAAGGGAGTTGCCCGGTCGCTAAGTGAATCATGCTTCCCGTGGACTTGGCTTGTCAGAAGGTTGCCAAAGGGGATGCTGTTGCCCCCCTCCCCCCCTGGGGACCCTGAGACCGTCGTAAATAGGAGTCAGTTGCCAAGCGTCCGGATTTGGATCACAAATGATGACAAAGGAGCCTAAGCCACGGTTTTCAGTGTTGTTGTGACTTTGAACAGTCACTAAATGAACAGTTGTAAGGCGAGGACTACCTATGATTGGTCAAGGAAGTGGTGTGAACAGCCAAAGAAGGGTCTGTGAAGGATGGGCTGTATCATTTTCCTTCCTTCCATCCATCCATCCATCCATCTTTTACTTTCTTGCTTTATGTTTTCCTTCCTTTCATCCCTCCCTCCCTCCCTTCCATCCTCCCTCCCCTGTCAGTGATCTAGAAATATTTGAGATTTCTTTGCCTGATTCTGCTTTCAAGCCTCAGGCCGCTGTTGGCTCTTAGGAAAACGTCACACAAGTTTTGATAGGGATGGAGTGACTCTCAGGCCAGAGCAAATAAATGTTCCGAGGAGCCATTGGAACAAAAGCAACAAAGACTTTGTGTTTGCACTGCGTGTGTCCACGTCTCTGTTTGGTCTCGCTGGGATGTAATATTTAACCAACCTTCGCTTGCTATCTGAAGAGCCGAGTCACACCTGGTTAGGGATTTGGATTTCAAATCTCCAGGAAGTTCGAGACTTGGGTAGAAAATTCTCCGGATGTTGAGGAGGCCGGGAAGCTGAAAACATCCTGGAAAAATAGGATGCAAAGCAAACTTTACATTATTGCCAGAGAAACCATATGGAGGCACCCAGGCAAGATAGGAAGTCCTCGACTTACAAGCGCAACGGAGCCCAGAATTGATGTTGCTAATAGAATATATTGCACCAGTGGTGGGATTCAAATTTTTTTTACTACCAGTTCTGTGGGTGTGGCTTGGTGGGCCTGGTTAGCCAATCTGTTCTTAAAAACCTCCAGTGTTGGAGCATTCACAACTTTTGGTGGAAAGTAGTTCCACTGGTTAATTGTCATCACTGTCAGGAAATTCCTCCTTAGTTTTAGGTTGCTTCTCTCCTTGGTTAGTTTCCACCCATTGCTTCTTGTCCTGCCTTCAGGGGCTTTGGAGAAGAGGTTGACCCCCTTCTTCTTTGGGGCAGCCCCTCAAATATTGGAATACTCCTCTAATGTCACCCTTAGCCCTTATTTTAATTAAACCTACTTTTCATACCCAGTTGCTGTAACCATTTGTTGTATGTTTTAGCCTCTTAGGCCCTTAATCATCTTCGTTGGTCTTCTCTGCACTTTATTTTTAGAGTCCTGACATTTATTTAGAGCCTGGATATTCAGCAGCTTTCTGCATGTATGGTATCATGCCCCTGTTGGAATCTGATTCAGAGGGGGAGGCCGAGCATCTGACAGGGAGTGGGAGTGTGGCTCCATTGGCTGTGGAAGAAACTGGGGAAGGGCACAGTTTGGCTGGGCAGAGCAGGGGAGAGGTAGAACAAAGGAGAGGGAATTCAGAGTAAGACCAAAGCTCACCCCTTCTTCATCGTAGGGCACGTAGGGAGGAATGGAGAAGGGAGCAACGGGAGTTGCATGGCTTATGGGGGAGGAAAGGGCCCTGATTCCCTTCATTAGCTGCAGCTGGGAACACAGTGTTAAAGGGAAGTTGCGCACAGCAAAGTTGTTGGGAGCAAATCATGAATTTATCTGGTATCATCGAGGCTTATTTGGGTTCCTGGTGTCTTCCCAACCATGTATGTTTTGCTGGGCTTTCAAGTCTGAAATTCCTTCTCCTGCCCTGTCCAGTTAATTGCTGCAGGATGGTTTGTGTGGATTTTAAGTTACAGTTTGTGTGTTTTCGGACTGAATTTCCTCCACTTAAAGGCTGTTCCTGGGAGAGTTTTTCTCCAGCCTGGACATTGGGGGCAAAGTTGGAGATATTAAAGGGACTTTTCTTACTTATGTGGCTGTGTTGCCTTTGTGCCATGCCCCTTTGGGTCATCACATATGGTCAACACAAAGCAATCGTGTTTACGGTATCCAATGTGGTTCCAATATGAAGAGTTTTGAAAGCATTGTATTCCTTTGATGGCTTTTAACTGTAACCAGGTTTCAGGCATCCAGAGATGCTATGATTGATAAGATTTTTCAGTGCGCCAAAATGGATAGGTTGACACTAGAATTGAAAGAACAAGATAAATCAGAATATTATAAAATATGGAACACATTTTATTATTGGAGGGACAGGAAGGAGAGTTCACAAAGCTGAAATAAGAATTCAAGTTGAAATAGAAATGAGGTGAGAGAACTTATACCTGAGGTATAAGAATAAGAACTAAATGGTACAAAGGTTAAATGTGTGTGTGTGTGTGTGTGTGTATGTATGTATGTATATATATATATATTTATATATGCGTGCATGTGTGTACGTAGATATATGTATAGATATATGTATATATATATAAATGTTTATATCTTTTGAGCTTTTCTAATGTAAAATATATTGACTGAAATGTATGTCAAAGAAGACTACCACATTCAATATTTTTAATGTTTATTTTCAATTAAAAATTTTTTTTTTTAAAAGAGATAGGACGACTTAGGGAAGTCAGGGGAAATTGTGTGTGTTTGCACAACTGAAAAATGGCCTTCATTTAAGCTTTTTCCAGTCTTCATTTCTGATGTTTAAATTGACGTGCCTGCGTATTTTAATGGGGCAGGTACTGGGAGATTATTCCTTTGTGAACTGGCTTTATCTGGTTGTAAAACCATTTGGCGTTTCAGAATTAACGAGGTCAAAATCAGATTTATGGATAAAAATAGTTCAGAGGAAAAAATTACCATCTGATACAAAAGGAAAACTAGTCCGCTGTCTCGTCATGGTCATCATAAGTCACTTTTTTCAGTGCTGTCGTAATTTGGAACGGACACTAAATGAACTTTTTGGAAGTTGAGAATGACTTGCGTTTTGATCCTTGCTTCCCCTCATGGAAAAATTAAATTAAAATACAATGACATAAAATACAATAAATAAAATAAAATAATGAAATAAAAAATAAAATACAATACAAGATAATATAATATAAATAATAAAATAAAATAAATAATAACAAAAAATAAAAATAACAAAAAATAAAAAATAACAAAAAATATCAAGTAAACAAATAAAATATAAAATAAAATAAAATGCAAGATAATATAATATAAATAATAAAATAAAAAATAAATAAATAATATATAAATAAAGTAAAATAAAATAAAAAATAAAATAACATAAAACATCAAATAAAGTAAAATAAAACATAAAATAAATAAATAAATAAAATATAAAATAAAATAAAATAAAATCACATTAAAAATTTGGATGCTTGGCAACTGATTCACATTTATGACGCTTGTAGTATCCCAGAGTCACCTGTAGTATGTATGTGTATGTGTAGATATATACTTTCTTTTGAGAGCAGGCAACAGAATTTCATTTTTCACGTGTGCCAGTGTGCTCAGAGTAAAAAAAAAAAAAGACAAAGTTTATCTTATCAAACTTGTTATTTCAATATTTATTTACCTATCACTCCTTCCTATAACATATCCCAGAGTTGAATCTTTAAAATGGTTAACAAACACTACTCTGCAATAATGGATCTGCAACATAACACAATAAGAGTTGGAAGGGACCTTGGAGGTCTTCTAGTCCAGCCCCTTGGAGATCTTCTAGTCCTCAAGCAGGAGACCCTATACCATTGCAGACAAGTGGCTGTCCAGTCTCCTTATAAACTTCCCATCTTCTTGCTTTATATTAGCAAGATTGTCCTTGGAAGTATCCAGCTATGTGAAATATGAGCTTCGTCAATGCAGCCCTGGATCTGAAATCACATTTGTGTGTGTGTGCGTGTGTGTAAATTATTTATGCGCATCATTATTATTTAAGCTTCAAACGTCCTTTCACAAGTTCGTTATAAGGTTGGGTTTCCAGTGTTGTTTTGCTTTTTTAAATGAGAGGGGGGGAAAACCATTCTCAAACGGTGGCTCCAGCTATATTGAGGGAAGTGCCAAGATATCAAGTTAAGAATGTTTATGGCAGGTTTTCAAATGTCGATGTAAATGAAATTAATCCAGGCTACAGACATTTGGGGTTAACAATATAGCCTGAGTTTCAGTTGGGGTTCCCAAGGGCTAGGGAGAAAAAAGGGTTTATGGAAAGTCCAGTTGCTTTTTGGAAGAAAAAAAAAACACTCTCAAGGATTGGACTGCCAAGACGTTATGAGAAAGAAATTATAAATTAACAATATCGACAGCATATAAAAAAAAATCATATAAGATGTTTCATAGATGGCACTTTGCACCAGCAAAACTGGCAAAGATGTTTAAAGATAAATCAGCCAAGTGCTGGAAGTGCCACCAGACATGGAGAACATATTACCATATGTGGTGGCCTTGTGCAGAAGCTAAAAGATATTGAACAAAAATACACACATGGTTGGAAAAAAAATGATAAAGCAACACATAGAATTGAAACCTGAAATATTTTTTATTAGGGATGGTACCTGAGGGTTACAGTAAAGAAAATCCACATTTAATTATTCATGTATTAACAGCAGCTAGAATTGTATTTGCTTAGAACTGGAAAAGCGATAAGATACAGGCAGAGGGCAAAGTGATTGAGAAAATATTTGAATGTGCAGAGATGAATAGATTAACACAGGCAATTAAAGAAAAAGAAGAAACTGAATATTACATGATATGGGATTTATTTTACCAATGGTTGGAAAACAAAATAAGTTAAAATGGAGTAGATGAATATATATAGAGAGAAATAAGTTAAGATTGGTAAAAAATAATAGATATAAGAAATAATAATTATAAAGAAAATATGATTCTTGTTATATTGGTAAGAAAAGTATTAATCACAACTGCTAGCACAAGACATATGTACCCAGTGGACCCACTGTTGAAATGAAAGATGGAATTACTGTAAATATAAAATAAAAAAATTAATAATAATTAAAAAAAAGGATTGGACTGCCATTTGTCAGACATTGTGTAGCGTCTCCTGCTTGGGTAGGGGGTTGGACTAGATGACCTACAAAGTCTCTTCCAACTCTGTTAATATCTGTTAAACATTTGGGATGCCCCAGGACCTGGATGATTGAGAATCCCCATAGACATTGACACAAATCTTAATTTGGGAAACACTTGATTTTCCTTCTTTACATAGAAATGTTTCTGAATCTTCATTTCACATTGTAAGGAGCAAGTGCTAAAGTTTTGCCTTGGTTTCCTTGCAGTACCTGGTGTGTAAACGGAAACTGGAGAGCAAGAAAGAAGCCCTCCTCATTCTCTCGAAGGAACTTGATTCCTGTCAACAGGAAAGAGACCAGTTCAAGCTTATGGCTAACCAACTACGGGAAAAGCACCAATCGCTAAAGAAGAAATACCAAGAACTAATTGTATGTAGCCAATTTGGATAGGGTCCTTCTGATAATGCAATCATCTTCATTTAATGATCTCATAATCCCTTGAGGGGTGGAGTTTGGACAATTGAATAGAGCTGAGTGTTTACTGGCCGGATGCCCTTCCTGATACAAGTGTGGAGTTTTGTTCAGCAGATATATTCTCATTGTGCCCAGAGAGAGAAATATCTGCCTCTACCTAGGATTGAACTCACAGCCTCGTAATTGCCAAGTGAGAGCTTCACCACTCCTTCCACCGCACCTCTCCTTCCTTCTGGTAATGCAGTGAGCGAGGTTAAATATTCCACTGTCACCTTTTAAATTCTGATTTTGTCCAAACCATTCACATTATTATTCATATTAATAGCATTATGCAAAGGCTTAGAGCGGAAACATATTAATGCCTACGGTTCAGTGATACAATACTTTACTAAAGGTTTGGTGCAAATTAGAATTTCTTTCTTCTAACTTATTTTCCTGTCCTGTCCTGTCCTTTTTTCTTTTTTTAGGATGGCGATCCTTCTATTCCTCCAGAGAAAAGAAAACAGGTAGGCTTTACTTCTGACTGTTATAACTGACATTTCCCAGTCACAAATTCTTTCAAGAAGGGAGATCTCGGTGTTGTGGCTCGCCGGCTGCTTAATGGAGCTGACAGCAGACTCGGACAATGAGAAGGTTGGGGAAGAACTTGGGGAAGGCTCTGATGGATGCTCAGTGTCGGACACGTAGAGATAGAACCAGGGCCATCTGATAATTCCCAACCACTGTAGAGGCAGCTGCCTTTGGAGTCAGAGATGAACGAGGAGGAGGAATAGCTGGGGCCTGTTCCAGATGCACGTATGCGCAGAGCAGATAGGAGAGGTGAACAATGGAGGACAACAAGCCGGCTCGGGGAAGCAAAACAAACATGGATGCTGACTGGCTCCTCCCTGACTGGGGAATAAATAGGAGGAAAGGGGAGTGATTTGGTTGTCGCAGACAAGCGTTCGCACTTATGAAAAGTTCACTCCTTGTGTGTTTTGTGCGACAGACTGCCTTGCCAGAACTGAGGTTTGTCTATTTCTTTGACTTAATTTGCAGCCTACTTGCTGTGAGCTCAGGCATTGCATTTATCAAAACAAGCTGATAAGGACTATTGTTTCATTTAACTGCTTGCAAGAGTCTTGCCTGGACTTTCTGTTGGTCAAGGCAGTTAATTCCCAAGGTTTTTTTTTTCTCCAGAGATGTGTGCGGAGGAAGAGGAACAGCTGGAGCCTGTTCCAGATGCGCATAATAAAATAATTAAAAAATAAAATAAGTAATAAGAAAAGAAAATATTAAAATAAAATAAAATAAATAAAAAAATGATAAGATAAGAAAAGAAAATATTAAAATTAAATAAAAAAAATAAAAAAAATGATAAGAACAATTAGAAAGACCAGATAAAAACTTGGTAGGATTCACCACCCAGAGTATTCCTGCGTATTTGTGTTGCCATCTGTTGCTATTGATCTATTACCTGCAAACTAAATATGCACATATGGCAGAATAAGGGATAAAATAGTTGGTGTAATTTAGTGAAATGTTTGTGAATAAAGTAAATGAAATAAAATAAATGAGAAAATTGAATTAGGAAGGAACGGGAACATTTTAATTAGTCAATGTTTTATAAAAGATAAGTGAAGGGGGGGGAATTAACTATGGAAAGTTTATAATTGTTCCCATAGAAGTATGATATTTAATTGAAAAGTAACGTGAAAAATGTTAAGACTTTAATGAATATTAATATTAATGATAGAATTGAATTGGAATGGAATGTTGTCCTAATTATATACATTTATATATTTTTCTTTTTTCTTTTTCTTTTCAAGAATACTGTGTGTAGTTTAAGAATGTACCAAGCAGAATCCGAATAGAAGTTATGTATTACATTAAGTGTTATAGCTTTAGGGGAAAGATATAAAGGCGTCATCCTCCAATCAGTAACTACAGGAGAAATTTTGTTTAATGAGAAAAGATAATAGACAATTGAAACAGGACAGACAAAAATATAAATATAATGATTTGAATTGAGATGAAATAAATAAAATAAAATTGAGAAAATTAAAAGAGGGGAGAAGCCATGTAGAAAATGTAAAATAGTAATAAGATATGGAATAGAAAATAAAAATGAGCATGAACCTGAATTTGTGTCTGTACGAAGAAATTTAACCCGGGATTATGCTGCTTTCAAAAAGATGTTTTATTTGTATTTCTTTCTTTTTGTGAAAACTCAAATAAAATTTACAAAAAAATATATATATGCACATATGGCTTGCTTCTTTTTCTTTTTCACTTGTATGGATTTTAATTCTAGAAAAGAATCCAATGCAAAACTGATTTTTTTTTCTCAGTTGCATCTTTGGATTTCCCTCGTGACCGTTTTGTTGCTCTTTTTCTAGGCAAATCTCACCCAGCTTCTGAGCGATTCCCGGGATCGAAATAAACATTTAGGGGAAGAAATCAAAGAATTGCATCAAAGACTGGGAGAAGTGCAGGGAGACAACAAGGTAGGGGATAAATTAAATAGAATTATGACTTATAACCGTTAGTTCCAGGTTGCTTCTGTCCTTGATGAGTTTCCATCCTTGTCCTGCCTTCGGGTGCTTTGGAGCAGCGGTCATCAACCAGTGGGCCACTGGTGGGCCGTGAGGAAATTTTGGTGGGCCGCAGAGAAATCTCACCCCAAGAGCAGCCCCCCAAAGCAATTAATCCAGGTTGCGCAGAAACACAAGGCTGTGCCGCCCACATGGCCTCCGGGAACCCTCCCCGCCCACTCACTCCTTACCCAGTAAACTTTATTTTATTTATTTATTTATTTTATTTATTTATTTTGATTTGTCAATTGCTTACAAAATAATAGGTATAAGTATATACATAGTTATGAATACATGAAATGGGTACATATAAGAAAAATAAAAGAAATAAAAATAAAAAAGAAACAATAGGACAGGAACGGTAGGCACGTTGGTGCGCTTATGCACGCCCCCTACAGACCTCTTAGGAAAGGGGTGAGGTCAATAGTAGACAGTCTAAGGTTAAAGTTTTTGGGGTTTGGGGAAGAAACCACAGAGTCAGGTAGAGTATTCCAGACATTGACCACTCTGTTGCCTGCTAAATTTCTATTTTTCCTTTTTCTGACCATCAACTGTTCTCTGTACTGGGAGATTTAGATTAGCTAGAAAGCAGGAAATGGTTGGATTTCTTGCTTTCTAGCTAATCTTTAGATCTTCGGCTCTGCTTTTAAGTACAGCCGAACCTCCCTTAGGACTGAAGGTTTGCTTGCAAGCAAATTCAGTGCAGACTCATGGCAAACAAATTTGAGAGACTGAGCTAACCGATGGCAGATAGATAGATCACTCAATGATTCTGTGAGCAATTCAATCTGTTGCTCTTTTTTTAATAAAAAATTCAATATTTACATGCATGGTGTTTTGGTGAGCTAATTTTGTGAGTTTGCTTGCAAGCAAATTTTATGTGACAGACTGAGCTAGCCAATGATACATATATAGATTTCTGAATGAATCTGATTCTGTGAGGAACTCAATCTGCCTGCCTGCTTTGCCTGATTTTGTGTAAAAGTTGCTCTTTTTTATAAAAAATTCAATATTTATATAAATATTTATAATATTTACATACAAGCCATACCCAGCCAATCACATGACCACCAAGCCACACCCACAAATTAGGCCACACCCACAGAATGAGTTAGTGGTCCCTGGGATCTAACATTATAAGTTTGATGGTCCCTGAGGTCCAAAAGGTTGGCGACCCCTGCTTTGGAGAATAGCTTGACTTCCTCATTTTGGGGGCAGCCCCCGAGATATTTGAACGCTGCTATCGATTTTTCTGGATTTTTTTCTTTCTTTCTTGCAGCTTCTTCGGATGACAATTGCCAAGCAAAGACTTGGAGACGAAGAAGTTGGAGCCCGCCATTTTGCTCCCCACGAGCGAGAAGATCTCGTGCAGCAGCTGGAGAAAGCACGAGAACAAGTAATGGAACGAAAATGTTCCTGCTTTGTGAATGTAGATTCTCACTCCCTTCATCCTAAATTTCACTTCTTTGTAAGGAAAGGCCCTTAAAAGAAATTCGATTTGATCCGACAGAATATCTATCAAGCCCAAGTTTGATTCCGTAGCCGAAAAATGCAACGAGTGGGTGTTAAAAACTAGATTTCATGTTATTTGGGAGAGCTCGGTGGTTTTGGATGGCTATTTGACTTCAAAATGTCATAGCCAGATTTGTTGGTTGTTGGTTTCTTGTGTTCTTTCACCTGGGTTGCACACTCTTTATTGCTTGAGTAGGTAGCTGTTCTGATCCAGGCTTCCCAAGACCATGAAGCTGACTCCTCGTCCCGATAAAACCCCTTTTATTGAGGTTAAAGGGATATTCCTCTCCAGCAAAGTCCCGGCCAACAGTCTTTCATGAGATTTCACAACTACAGACCTTGATCAGGCTTGGAGATATCTTCCAAACGCCACGCTGTAGCAGCAATTATTTGGCAAGAAGTCAGGAACAGATCTTCACCCTCATGAATTGAACTAATTGCCTCCTGCAAACCCCACTCCCCTTTCGCTCCTCTTTATTCCCTCTGGGAGGGGCCATTCACCGTCCACCTGAGCCTTTACTCCCAAAGTCGATCCTTGTTCCTAAGCTATTCCCTTCTAACTTGGTCATTTTTGTTACTGAAAATAGACAGGGGTGGGCTTCAAAAATTTCAGCAATGGGTTCTCTGCCCAGTTGCTGGGTGAATGTGGCCATGATGGGCGTGGCCTAGCCGGCCTCCTGCACCACAGCGGCTAGGAGCATTTTTGCCCTCCCGGGAGTCCAAAGGCTTCCCTTGAGCTTCCGAGAGGGTGAAAATGGCTTTCCTGGGCTCTGGAGCCTCTCTGGAAGCCAGAAACAGGCCCATTTCCAGGCCCGTTTTTTGCCCTCCCTGAGCCTCTGTGCGCGCCCTACACTTACCTGCATCCAAAACGGGGTGTGTGAGGACTCCTGGGAGGGGCAGGGAGGGGTGGGCGGGGCCAGCCAGGAGCGGGATTTGGGGGTTTTCTGAACTGCGCAGGGGGCTCTCCTGAACCCGTGCAAACCCCCAGCAGCCCACCCCTGAAAATAGAGCATGGGAGATAGAAGAATTCTTGGCCAAAATGGAAGTTCTCCTGATCTTCATTAAGGCTTTTGATGCTTGGCTCTCTCTTGCCAGATGGAGACTCTACAGCTTGATCTTCAAGCGTCATTGGACGAGCTCCAGGACATGAGGGAAGAGCGTTCCTTTTACCAAGAGAAGTCTGAAAAGTTAAACCAAGAACTGAACCACGTTCTCGGAGGACACGTCGACCGCATCATCGATATAGATGCTCTCTGCATGGAAAACAGGTGAGCTTGCTTGAGCTTGCTTAGGAATGAATTGTGGTTTATTTTAGGACAGGACCAGGACGTCACTGCAGAACTGAGTTTACGCCAGAAGGGTTCGTCTTTGTTGCGAATATTGTAGGCCTGTGGTGGCGAACCTATGGCACACGTGCCAAAAGTGGCACGCAGAGCCATTACTGCTGGCATGCGAGCACTCGCCCAGAAAAGGTCTACTGCCACCCACCCACAAGCTGATTGTCGAGTATCAGGCAAGCATGTGCAGAGGCATGGCGGCGTGCAGGAGACACTCGTGCATGCGCAGAAATACGCGGCGCAGGTCATGCAGGTTGCGTGCGCATGCACAGGAGGCATGGGGGCCCCCACGTGCATTGCCTTCTGGGTGATGGCATGCGAGCACGAGCAAGCAAGCATGCATGCAGTTATCAGCACGGGAGCCCAAAAAGGTTAGCCACCACGGTTGTAGGCGGCAGTAATGCAGCAAAAACAACGTGGAAAAAAATATTAAAGGGATTGCAAAATCAAAGATAAAAATAGCCGAATCGCTAAAAGAGAGGAGGAAAAAAATGCATGAGCCTGTTAACATAGTAAAGGACAAATTTACCCTGTTTAGTCATGTCCAGCTCAAGGGGTTGGTGCTCATCTCCATTTCTTGGTTGCGAGAGTCATTGTTGTCCGACGACTCTTCCGTGGTCATGTAGTTGGCAAGAATAGAATATAGAATATGGAATGGAGTGGAGTGGAGTGGAGTGGAGTGGAGTGGAGTGGAGTGGAGTGGAGTAGAGTAGAGTAGAGTAGAGTAGAGTAGAGTAGAGTAGAGTAGAGTAGAGTAGAATAGAATAGAATAGAATAGAATAGAATAGAATAGAATAGAATAGAATAGAATAGAATAGAATAGAATTCTTTATTGGCCAAGTGTGATTGGGCACACGAGGAATGTGTCTTGGTGCAAATGCTCCCAGTGCACATAAAAGAAAAGATACATTCGTCAAGAGTCAAGAATCATGAAGTACAACACTTAATGATAGTCATAGGGTACAATAAGCAATCAAATCATACTAGTCAATATAAATCGTAAGGATACAAGCAACAAAGTTAACAGTCATACAGTCACAAGTGGGAAGGGCGATAAGGAGTGATGAGAAGATTAATAGTGATAGTAGTGCAGACTTTGTAAATAGCTGGACAGTGATGAGGGAATTATTTGTTTAGCAGAGTGATGGCGTTTGAGGGGAAACTCCCCTTGTGTCTAGTTGTTCTGGTGTGCAGGGCTCTCTATAGTGTCATTTTGAAGGTGGGAGTTGAACCAGTTTATGTCCAAGATGTGAGGGGTCTGTAGATATTTTCACAGCCCTCTTTTTGACTCAGGGTGCAGTATCCAGGTCCTCCATGGAAGGCAAGTTGGTAGCAATTGTTTTTTCTGCAGTCCTAATCACTCTCTGAAGTCTGTGTCTGTCCTGTTGGGTTGCAGAGCCAAACCAGACAATTATAGAGGTGCAGATGACAGACTCAATCATTCCTCTGTAGAATTGGATCAGCAGCTCCTTTTGGACAGTTTGAGCTTCTTGAGTTGGCTTTGTGGTGCTTTTTTGATGACGTTTTTGATGTTAGGTGTTCCATTTTAGGGTCCATTTTAGACTACATACCAAATGTCCATGAAACGCTGTTACCTTCCCGCCGAAGTGGTACCTATTTATCTACTTGCATTTGCATGCTTTCCCACTGCTAGGTTGGTAGGACCCAACCTAGTGAGGACAGGAGCTCACGCTGTCATGTGGTGCTCGGGTCTCGAATCCAGCCTATCAGCTTTCCAGCTGACCAGCTCAGGGTCTTTAACCATTGAGTAGCCACCCTCTTATAGCATGGTTTAAAGGGATTAATATGGGCTGAACAAAGTTTTGCCCCTAGACTTCAAATTCCCTTGTTTTTTTATTACTATTATTATCACTTTTATTCATTAAACATGAAACTCAGTCAACTGAACATTTAAAAATGTATCACAAATATCATTGGCGCTGATGGTTGATACGGGCTGCTGCCAGCATCCTACTGTAGGTATTAACCAAGTATCTTCTTAACATGTACAATGTTTCGAGTAGCTCGTTTTGAAATACTTAATAAATGGCACCTGAGTAATATATCATTATTTTCATCCCCTAAAATTCAGATACCTTCACGAGCGATTAAAACAAGTTCAAGAAGAAGTTAATATTCTGAAATCGAACATTGTGAAATACAAGGTAAATTATACTGTGAGCTATAAGGGGAATTATGTAGTAATCTTTTTGCAATGAAATATATTTCAAACTTATTAATTAATGTGGGCTTTTTTAAACTTCATCAGCCTTTGAAAGATTTATTTCTTTCACTAAAAAATAAATAAAATAGCACTCTGTTAATATTTCTTCATGGTTTTTAAGTGCAATTAGGTAATTTAGCTTTTAAAAAAATAAATAAAATGAAAACAAAACTGAAGCTTCAAGCAGCTTTTAAACATAATATTTTCTGTTTATATTGATAGAATTATTCTCTTGCATAGTTCATTTTGTGTGATCTGCATATCAAAAGAGGCGTTTCGGTTCTCTTTATTCCCTGTGAAATTGCATTTCTTGCAGGAGAAATGGCTGCATGTAATTTATGTTTATCTCCTAAACTTTCAGAATCATAGAATTACAGTCGGGGAAGGGCACCTAGAGGTCCTCACGTCTACCCCTAGACCCTTCATTGTGTCTCTGACAGAGCATCTCACCGCCCAGTGCAAAACTAACGAAAATAACTTTTATCAAAATCTCACCGGAGGCATCATGCGTTGATGCTTTGACTCTCAACAATAACTTTTGATTCACTCAATGAAAATAATGATACTTTCAGTGTGATAGAGCATGATACATTAAAAAAATAATATTAGCACTCAAATCACAGTTCATTGTTTTGTACAAGCCTCATTTAAATTAATAAATGAACAGGTGTCCATTATGCCCTTGGTTTAATGCAGAGGTCCCCAAATTTGGCAACTTTTAAGACTGGTGGACTTCAACTATGCTGGCTGGAGAATTCTGGGAGTTGAAGTCCATCAGTCTTAAGGTTGCCAAGTTTGGGGACCCCTGGTTTAATGTATAGTCAATTGGTACCCTTCACCTTCCTTTGTTATATAGTTCAGTTGCTTCTGCTATAGTTTTCTGGATTTCCAGATTCGTCCCCATTTTTCTGTGATAAAAAAGTTATTCCCACATTCTCCCAAGTTTACGTATGCTACATGTATTACATACATGACACATATTACATATATTATCTACAGAGCACCATGAAATAGATAGATAGATCTTGGTTGATTGATTGATTGATGCTTGTAAATAGTGGCTTATATTCAGTTGAAAAAAACATTCTTAATATTCTTTTTTTTTAAAGATAAGAATCTAGTTCTAGTTTTACCTAGTTTAGGTCATGAAACATCTGCAAGAAAACAAGCAAACTCAAAAGGCACCAAGGATCCCACACTCCTCCTCCTGTTCCTCCTCTCTGCAAACCCCTCCTTTCTTTTAGCACTGATGATGTTACCTAGTTTGGTAATGAAATGTCTGCAAGAAAACATGCAAGCTTAGAGAGCACCAAGGACCCCGCAGTTGTCCTCCTCCTCCTCCTCCTCCTCCTCCTCCTCCTCCTCCTCCTCCTCCTCTCTGCAAACCCCCCTTCTAGCACTGATGGTGTTACCTAGTTCGGTAATTAAACGTCTTCAAGAAAACAAGCAAGCTCAGAGAGCCCCAAGGACTCTCATGTCCCTATCCCTGAGCTACAAATATTCTGCTTTGTTAGTAAAATAAGAATCAGATTTTCTTTCGCCATTTTAATGCATATCTTTTCTTGGGCTTCCCCTTCTTTCTTCAGAACGCTCTAGAAAGAAGGAAAAATTCAAAAGGTCACAGCAAATCGAACAGCAGCGCCCTGACTGGAATCCTTTCTGCAAAGCAAGGTATGGCACAGAGTTTTTATCCTCACCATTTTTCTTCTGAAATTGACCACAGTGGGCCCAATAGGACATTTGAAGGACCTCACATGTGTTTGTCTCCGTATTGGGGAACAGACTTGGTTTGTTTCTGGTTCTAGTGGGGTTTATTTAAAACTGCAGCATAGCTTGCATTTTCCTTGGAATTCAACATGGATCTGCATCTTCACAGATCACAGGGGCTTCTAAATAAACAGCGGAATGATGGCTGGGCAGCCAGGAAACTTCCCCTCAAAACAACCCCTCAGATTTTTTTTTTGATTTTTTTTAAATGAATCAACACATATCTATACACAAGGTGTGATTTTTTTTTAAAAAAAAAAGTTTTACTACAGTTTTTCACATTATAAAACAAAAAACAGCTCTTTTCAGTGGACAACATGATTCTGGGTTACTACATTTACATGCAAATATGACAATAGTTATATATTCATCTTTTACATTCAACTTCCTGCCTTATCCAAGTTTTTTAAGGTGTGATTTTAAAACATAGACAAGGGCATTCGTAATCTTTCTCTATAAAAGCGAAATACCACTCAGGCATCATCACAAAATCTCCAGAACCGCAAAGCCTACAAACTTGAAATTGGGCCTGTATGTTCCTCTTGGCTTCTAGGGGCTCACTAAGAAAGGATCTTTCCAAATGACCATCAGAGCATTTAGAGTATTTCCTATATTATTATTATTATTAGCACGCTCTGATGCTAAGGAGTTCTACTCCCCCTCCCTACCTGAAAAAAAGAAATCTCTTCCAAATGCAAAACACAAGCAGAGGAGAGGAGTTTCAGTTTCAGTTTCACAGCACCAAACAGCTTTAGTATAGAACAGTTGAGCTAAGCCACGCCCAGGCTCCTTGCTGTCTCCTTCTTGCTCACACAGTAAATACTGTTTCAGTTTCCAAACAGCCCTCAACTCTCTCACACACTGACAGGATGCTAGCCAGATGAATACTGATGGATGCTGGCAGGCAGAGGCAGAATTCCCCCCCCCACCTTATTTTCCTCCCCAAAAGCTAAGTCCCACCACATAGTTTCATAGTGAAGCATGGGGATCGAGCATAGATGTTGTTATAACAGCCCTGAAAAAGCTACTCCTGGCCCTTTTTCACACCCTTATGACCATTTGCGACCCCATGATCCCAAGATCAAAATTCAGGTGCTTGGCGACTGACTCGTATTTTTGACGGTCGTAGTGGTCCGGGGGGGGTGTCGTGTGATCCCCTTTTGCGACCTTCTGATGAGCGAAGTCTGTGGGGAAAGCTGGGTTCGCTTAACAACTGTGGCACAGAAAGCCTTAAAAACGGGGCAGGAACTCCCTTAACAAACATCTCGCGTAACAACAGAAAACTGTTGGACTCCATTGTGGTAGTAAGGTGAGGACCACCTGTTCAGTTAAAACATTCCTAAATTTGTTTTGACTTCCTTCATGTCAGGGCGCCGGTAATTACCCCCATTAAATCATGAGTCTCAAGCCAAATTTTCAAAACTTAAAGAAGATTTATTAGGAGTAAACATGCCGGCACTGCCTGGGTGCAGCCTACTCTGAGATACATAATTCATTGTTGCCCTTGACCCTGGTCTTCCATCCACCCCCTGGTTGTATCATAATTTTTATTCTCCAATGGGACACATCCATAGCCCAGAGTCATCAATCGTGCTCTCCAGTTAGAATTTTGCATGGCAGAAACTTCAGTCACCTAGTTACTATCTTTGAAAACTATTTATTGGATGCACTTTCTATTTCCAAGTTGCCGCACTGCCCCCCCTTCCCTTTCTGTTGGCAACTCTAAAAAGACCATAGAAATATTTTATGAGTTGACACTTCAACTGTTTCCTAGTGCAAGAGCTGTTATCCGAAGATCACGGCTGTAGTTTACCAGCGACCCCTCAGTCCATTTCTGACCTTAAATCCTTGGCTACAGCTTTATTGGAGACCATTCATGAGAAGAATATGGTCATCCAGCACCAAAGGCAAACCAACAAGTAAGTGACTTTTTCTACAATAATATGAGTGTAGGCCTTCTCCAAAAGCTTTGCCGATATGGTCATTTTCTTGCCCTCACCAAGGTGTGCGATGCTTGGGGGAAATGTTTTTTTCCCAAAAACACGGGGGGAAAAGATGAAGGAGATAAACAGGTAGCCCTTGACTAACAACCGTGTGTGTGTATGTGTGTGTGTTCTGTTCCACCTGTATCCACAGATGAAACTTCAAGTTATATAGTTCAAATACTTTACGTAAACAAAACCGGAGTCAGAAGATTGAATTGCTCTGTTATCACAGTCCTTTGGCAATCCTCCCACAATCTGTCCGGCAATTCTGTAAAGTTCGTAACTCACAACGCAGTAAATCAGACGCAAGTCTTTCCAAGGCAAGATTCACTTTGTTTCCAGCAAATATTTCAAAGTCATGCGCTCCCTTATATCCTCTAAGAAAGGGCGTGTCAGTCTCATTAATTAATCCTTTGCTGGACGTCTCTTTTCTAATTGAGATTGACGTCTCAATCTTCTCCTAGTTCTGGCATCCAGCCAGCATCCGGCAGTTTCATCACAGCTGGAATCCTCTGATACACTTTCCTGATTAACAGTTAACACCTGAGGTGCAATCAGGGAGGGAGTTCCAGAAGAGGAAGAGGCCTCTGAAACTTCTAATAAATCAGGTTCATCTCTCAGATTCAACTCCTCCTCGTCCCCCAGACTCCTCTCAAGGTCGCTCAGCAATGCAGGCTCGAATCTCA